CTCTGGTGCCTTGCAGAGTTCCAAAATATTATAAAAATAACAAAACTAACTATATGGATGTCTCCTTTAAACTTAGAGTACTATATATAAATATATATATATATATACATATATATATATATATATATATACACACACACACACACCTGAATTGCTTTGCTGTACACCTGAAACTAACATGGTAAATCAACTGTACTTCAATAAAAAATAAAATTAAAAAATAAATAAACGGAATTTCTAAAATATCACAGAAAGCATAAACTTCATTATACTTGTGTTGTCATAATTATTTCACCAAGAGAAGTGAATTTGATTTCACTGGGCTCTACACTGTGACGTCTGATTGTCATTGCATTTGCCTGATTACCAAACATGCTAACCAGCTGAAGAACGAACTTTTACCCTTCCTTAGCACCTTGCCAACTTTAGAAGTTGTACTTCGTCTGTATTATACACGGAAGGCCTCTTTCTGGCAAAAAGGATGCTCAACCCAGGTCACTTATGATTTCTATAGACTGTTGCTTCTACAAAGCCATTTTCAAATTAACACTGGAAGATCATATTAGTCCTACAACAAGGATGCTTTTTAAGTTTGCCACGAAGATGTTTTAAAAAGCGATCCAATGTTACAGCATTGTGTCGTTTGTATTTCTCTCTGCTGTAGGGTTACATATTCCCTCTCACACAGAGGCAGACCGCAGTCTGTTTGCACCATAACCATCACAGCTGTGTCGCAGGTCGCTGACAGGGGCGCGCTCCAGGGCCCGGCGGGGCAGGGAGCCGGCTCAGGCCAGCAGCGGCACGCCAGGTGGGGCCTCTGAGTTGAAGCTGCTGGTGACGGGGTCGGGATGGGGGGCTTCAAAAGAAACAAGAACTCCCGGATAATCCAGACCCCGGGGGTGTATAACCTTCAGAGAACCGGGGGCCGATCAGCATGGCACTCATCTCAGTCAAAATCACAAGAGCAGAGCACGCACAACCCACACAGCAAAAGCCCTGGCAAGTTCTAAGAAGCCCGGAAGAGGAAAATGGACCAGAGCCATTCCACGGTAGGACCAAATCAGAGGCTCCAGCCACCTGCCAGCTCTAAACCAGGGGTCACTCAGACCCAGGTGTGAACCCCATGGAGCGTGAGGAGGAAACCCAGAAGCACAGCCCAAATGGTAACGATATGTGCTCACAGGTAATCACTAGAGATGCCCAAAACGCCAATATGTTTTGCTGTGTCATTCGCAAAATTTGATGGAATAATGGTGGGGTGGGGTGGGGGCAAGGGGGTCACACTTAATTTCAAAGACGTGCTTCAGTTATCCTTGGCCATCAGTAGGACACCTTAGAAATAGGTTTCATTCCTTCTACTCAGCTTCTCAAATTGAGATTTGCAGGAAAAACAGATCAAACTTGTGACGAAGAGTTGAAAATGTGTGAACTTACCTATGAAAAGGAATTTAATGATGTAAAATGGAAGAACAAATGTATCTTTCAGAAAGGAGCAGATTGGCATTAAAACTCCACTCTGGAACTACAATATTTATAACCTGTCATGACACTTCCCTGAAAACTTTATAGTAGATGAGAAGTCAATTATCACGAGCAGAGGCAGCACAGCAGGATTCACTGGACCTCCCATTCAGTTTATTTCGAGGAGTATTTACTGAGCATGACCTTACAGCAGAACCAAGGACAGAGATGCAGGGACCATAAATGTGGATCAGACTGTCCCTGTCTTCCTTCAGTTTCCATACCACAGAGCAAAAAGGGACAAATGGTTAGAGGTTCAGAATAAGAAGAGATCCCTTCTATCTGGGGGACAGGGGGTAATCAGGGATGGTTTCACTGCATAATTGACATTTCAGTTACACCTAGGAGGGCATGGGAGACGTTGAGTCAGAGAAAGAGACAAAAGCCATCTAAGAGCAGGGCGTGGCAAGAGTAAACAGGCGGGCTGAGAAGTGCAGAAAGTACTGAGCACAAACTCGGAGCAAGGCAGAAATGGGAAGTAAAACTAGGGGATAAACAGACAGTTCTGTCTTCTTTATTGTCAGTGCAAATCCACTGAAGATGTTTAAATGAGGAGGCAAAGGGATGATGGAAGCTGTACTTGGCAAAGCCCAATACGGAGGTATGAGCACAACCATTCCCCAGACGTTCATGTCTGTCACCAGGACTGTGGGAATATGGCTGCAGTTCTAGGGCGGAGGTCACAGATGCCAGACATCCTGCCATTTGCAAGAGTTCTGGAGGAAAAAGAACTACCCAGCCCAAAGGCCAAGAGTGCCCTGCTGGGAGGCACAGGGACAAGGAGGGCAGACGGGAGCTAGGAAGGCAATGATCAAGCAGCAGTGAACTATCGGAGCCAGGGTGGTGAACGTGGGCAGAGAAAGGAAGAGTCAAATCTGAGGCTGGAAAAGGGAGGAGGCAAATGACTAATAGACCCAAGAAAAGATGCTCAGCATCACTAATTAATAGAGAAATGCAAATAAAAGTTATAATGAGGCATCATCTCACACCAGTCAGAATGGCCATCATTGAAAAGTCTACAAACGATAAATGCTAGGGAAAGTGGGGAGAAAAGGGAACCTTCCTACACTGTTGGCGGAATGTGAAGCCATTATGGAAAACAGTGTAGAGATTTCCTAAAAAACTGAAAATAGACTTACTCTATGATCTACCAAAACCACTCTTGGGTATATATCTGGAGGAAATTTTAATTTGAAAAGATACATGCATCCCAATGTTCACAGCAACACTACATACAATAGCCAAGACAAGGAAGGAATCTAAATGGCCATTGACAGATGACTGGATAAAGATGTGGTATATACATATATGATGAAATACGATGAAATACTACTCAGTCATAAAAAAGAATGAAATAGTGTCATTTGCAGCAACATGGCTGGACCTGGAGATTATCATAACAAGTGAAGTAAATCAAAGAAAGACAAATATCATATGATATCACTTATATGTGGAATCTAAAAAAAAAAAAAGATACAAGTGAATTTATTTACAAACCAGAAGCAAATTTACAGACATAGAAAACAAACTAATGGTTACCAAAGGGGAAAGGGCAGGGGAGGAATAAATTAGGAGTTAGGGATAAACATATACACACTACTATATATAAAATAGAGAAACGACAAGGACCTCCTATGTAGCACATGGAACTGTATTCAATATCTTACAATAACCTATAATGGAAAAGACTAAAAAAGAATATATGTACGTATAACTGAATCACTTTGCTGTGCACCTGAAACCGATACAACACTGCACTGCAATTAAAATAAAGGGAGGTGGCAGAAGGAACAGGTCCTCCTGAGGTTAGGGGTGTGATGCGAGACCGCCAAGGCTTTGAGCCTCAGGGATGGCAACAGCGGGAAGAATGTAGACTCTTACAGAAACTCAAAAATCAAAACCTGAATTGGGCTCAAAACCCTGCATGGGTTTAACTTCCTCCCCTCACACGAGAGCATTAAACACCCCCCACCGCGCCCCACCTCCTGCTGCAGCCCCGCCTCTAGTCCGTTCCTCCCTACATCCCGTAGCACTGAGCTCCTCGTGCCACCTGTGCTCAGCGCAAGGTCCGCCCAGCAGGCACTCCAGCAACTATACTCAGTTTTCTGCTCTAAAAGTGAACACGAGATGTAATAATCCACTTTCTCAGAGTTCCAGCACCCCCTCCCACCCTGTGAAACCTTTCTGCTGTTTTAGACACGTCATCTCGCTGTGACCTCGTTGCTTTGACAGTCAATTTGGGGAAAAGTATTTTAATTAGAAATCCACAGGCCTGCAGCAAGAGAGAAGAAAAGGGTAAGTGAGGCGTGAGGAGCAGGAGCTAGTTTCTCTGGCTGCAGAGAAACTTCTGGAAGCCGACTGGTAGAGGTGAGCTGACAGGTATCTGTGAGAAGCGGAAACGCCTCACTCTTGGGTCACAAGATACCTGGGGTATTTCGCTTTTCTGAAGCAGGAAAAACCTCATTCAACATGCTCAAGAAATGCTTTTTTAATTTTTTTAAATTTTATTGATAAAATATATATACCATAAAATGTATCTAGTTAGTTTTTTTTAACCCCAAAGTTCTTGGGTAAACAAAGTTTATTCTAGGAAGAGCAACCCATTGAGAGATAAAACCATTTTAAACTGTATATATTTGTATTTTCATTGTTTCTAAAACAGTTTAGAGCTTTAGCGTTTTAAACTTACATAATTACCAAACGATTAAAGCCAACCACAAAATAAGAATCAACAGAATGCAGTAATCCATTCATAAAAGACAGTCAAATGAAGAAATACTTTTTAAAACGTAACAATGATATTTTGAAACATTTCTGTGTTCTCGCTTGGAGTTCCTTTTGTTACCCAGCAGGCTTTGAAAATAAAAATTTAAACTGAAGGCCAGAGAGAAGTTTTTTGAAGTTATATTTAAATGCATAATCTTAATTTCCAAATCAGTTTCTTTCTAGGAGCTAAATTGTACCTAATGAGAAAATACACGTTGCTATATTTGCTGCAAAATAGACACATTTACAAACTCACAGTAAAAGAAGTCAGGCAGGTTCTCGAAAGATTGAAAAACAGTTACCACATGACCCAGCCATTCTACTCCTAGAAATTAAAGGTACCCGAGAAATAAAGCAAGTCTACCCAAAAACTTGTAGAAGAATGTTCGCAGCATTGTTCAAAATGGCCAAAAAGCAGAAACAACCCAAATGGCCATCAACTGGATGAATGGATGAACAAAATGCAGTCTATCCATGTAACTGAATATGATTTGGGAATAACAATGAACCAAGTACTGCTCCACAGTACAGCACAGAAGAACCATGAAACATTATGTTGAGATGCCAGTCAAGAAAACACTCATGTGTTGTACGATTCCATTTATATGAAATTTCCAGAATAGGAAAATCTATGGAGATAGAAAGTGGGTGAGTGGTTGTCTGGGGCTGAGGGGACTGGAGGGAAATGTTGAATCTGCAAGTGGACAGAGTTTCTTTTAGGGGTGATGAAAATGTTTTAAAATCAACAGTGGCAATGGTTGCACAAGTCTGCAAATATATGAAAATTCAATGGACTGTATACTTTAAACGGGCGAATTACACAGTATATGAATTATACCTCAACAGAGTTGAGTTTTAATACAGTTTTAAGGATTTTAATAGTTTTAATCACACCGAAATATTTCCTTCAAGATGGGATGAGAGCAGAAAAGGCCATCATGCTCTTTTAAATACTTCACTTTTGTTTCCACTTTCTAGGGAGGAAAAAGTATATTGTGTATCTGAATAGCATTCACGTCTCATTGTCTATCTCGATTAGCACAGGCTGAAACATCAGAAGGTATTCGTGGATGAATGAATGGAAAAGGAGGAAGGAAGGAAAGGAAGGAAGGGAGGGAGGAAAGGAGGGAGGAAGGGAGGAAGGAAGGAAGGGAGGGAGAGAGGAAGGAAAGAGGGAAGGAAGGAAGGGGGCAAGTCGCAGCAAAGCCCTGAGAAGGCACTTTGGGAGAGTCTGCAGAAAGGAGTACTCACAGGAAGCCCCCGGGGTCCTCGGGGTCCCATCTCTCCTGGCGGCCCCTGTTGGCCCTGTGATGAGAAAGGGGACAGAGAAAAAGTTAAACTCCCTAATCCTTGGCTTGGTGATTACAACAGCTTACCAGGCATGAAAAGGTAACGGCATCTTACCGGTTTGCCTGAATTCCCCAACTGACCAGGCTTCCCTGGAGCACCTGTGTTACCCTGATGGTAAAAGACAGTATTCAAATTAACTCAGACAGTGAGTGAGCATAATCATACCCCTGTGTTACCCACACCGAGTGTTTCTTACTTAAATAGCATTAATTTCCTGGTTTTACACTGAGAGTTTGAGAGGATGTAGACTCTCTTTCTTGGTGGATACATCAAAGTTCTTTAGATTTAAGATGTTGTTTTGTTATTCGCAGAAGTCTATTAATAAAGGTGTTGAAAATGTTACAAAGTGAAGGTCAAATGTCAAAAAAATGAAGGGCTTTAGCCAGACAAGAATAAGAGAGGAATTTTCTTTCTTCACAATATTAATTACACATGTCTTTCTTTACCATTTCCACCCCCAATACACTTCTTGGAGCCATTTTACGTGACACTGACACTATCAAAATTGTACAGAATCATGTCAACGTGAGGAACTAAAGGACATGCTGCCTCCCAGCAGGCTCCAGGGAGTGCACCTGTCCAGGAATCCATTTCCACCATCCGTCTCCGGTGGTCCACTTATCAGGGAGCATTTCTTCTCAAGACTCCGTGGACCACTCCGACTGGACAGCTGGAGCCCTAAAAATCTAACAGTGACCAATATCTACATTATCCACATTTCATCTATTGTATTTCAAGTAAAGCTATATTTTAATCCTTTTTTTTTCCTTTTAACTATTGTCTTGAAGTGCTGGATTATAAGCACAGGTTGATCATTATGTGAGCAAAATGCCTAATACCTTTAAGTTTGAGCTAAATCATCCTAATGATAGTCACTGACAATTTTTATGGCTTAATAATACGGTCCTCATTGTAAGTGATACAGAGCAATAAGACTTTCTCTGTCTTACACTGGCCGAGGATAACACTTTCCAGAAGGAAGTCTAACCAGCAACACTCCGTCAAAGTTCTCTTTCTGCCTCTGGGAAAGAAATGCGCTTTTAAAGTCTTAAGGGCTTTTTGATTTTTCCTTAGAGTCAAATATAAAATAAAAGACTGGATGGGAATATTTAAAATGAAAACTAAAATCTTTGGTAAGAGAAAAATACAAATTACAAAGTTTTCATCTTTTACCTTTTCACCAGCAATACCCTTGGCACCAGGAATTCCGGGTATCCCCTAAAAGAGGGCACACAGAATGTGGGTTTAATCACTTCACCTGGGAATCCTTGGATGCTCAGCCCGGCGCACAGCGCTGAGGGGCCGAGGGGAATCACGACGACCTCCAAGCTTTCGTGTGAGGGAGAGGTTCCTAGCTCCCCAGCTCTGAACAGTTCTAGGAGGCAACTTTCCTGTCACTGGCTTGTTGTGTCTGAACACCCTTAGAGCAAATTCTAGCTCTAAAGTCACTTTTCAGGGATGAACCTCCAAATCAGAATCCAGTACCATTTTCAGGTCAACAGATGCTCTCACTGGCATGATTTCATGTACAAAAGGCAAAACAAGGATGTGTCAAAAATGCCAGGCTTTAAGTAGAAAAACACAGTGTCAGGAAGCGAGCTGGGATTCACTGAGACGTGGTGCTAACGGAGTCCTAATATCCCCTAGCTGATTATTTTTAAGGTGTCAGATATCATCATAAACCAGAGGGCAGTCCTCAGTGTTACCAGATAATTCTTTTGACTTGAAACCTTCACCTCCGGAGAGCCAAGAATACACGTGGCAGAATCCACATGAACTTCTAGCCACGTTAATGCAGGGAAACACCAAGTTGAACAATTCAAACTAGTGCATAATCAAAAAATGACATCTCTCTCACATTGTTCCCTGAACATACTCTCAGCCCTTACGTCTCAATCCTGCCAACAAGAACTTCAGAACTGGTTAAAAGCAGGAGGAAGTGGGTGACACTGGCTCACAGCTCAGGGTCAGGGAGAAAAATATATGGAAGACTGAGTGAACTAAACAGAGAAGAGAGATGAAAATATAAAGTTAAAGCTTAGTGTACTTATCAGAGAAATAACTAGTCATTCAGAGAAAAAAATACAAAAATATAAGTATAAAACTGCAAAAATATAAAATTATAGCATTACCTCTTCTCCAGAACTTATTAAATTACTTAGTGTGTTTCTCCTCCAAATTCATATCTTCAAAATTTGTACATAAATCAATAAACATTTGAATAATCAAATACTTACAGGTAACCCCTGCAGTCCTGCATCACCAGGAGGTCCAGGTTTCCCTGGTTCACCCTGGAAGAAAAAAGTTATGAACTGCTGTCCTTCTTTTAAGAAAAGGAAAGACAAAGACCTTCTAAGTAAAAGGGCTATCTGTACAGCTGGCCTTACATGCAGTTCAGGGCGGGAGGGTGGGGGAGGACTTCGGACAAAAATTCAATCAAAATAAATGATTTCCTTCTGCCTACGTTCATCAGTGGGATAATTTTACTGAGTTTCTGAAACCAAGCAAACACTCTATTCTAATAAGTACTTGGAATTGACATAATTTAAAAGTAAAAAGGAGAAAAAAAGCCAAAACCAGCTAAATCAATGCCTCAGTAATGTAATAATGGAAACCCTGTGCTTGGCTGGTCTCGGAAGAGACCACCCCATCACTCTTAGACTAAATCACACAGCTACCTTTGTTCCAGGCATTCCAGGTATCCCCTCACGGCCATCCACACCTGGCAAGCCCTAAAGACACACAAAGAAACACACTGTCTTAGGAACGCATTCGTCTTCCCTTCAGCGTTTTCTAAAGTTGTATTACAAGTCAATAATCACTTTGAAAAATGTTCTTGATGCCTACAGCTCAGGACATACCGTATCTCCTTTGGGCCCAGGGGGACCAGGAATTCCTCGAGAACCTTGAGCTCCCTGCAGGGCAGAAGGGAGAAGGCAGACAAGACACCCTCAATTAGCACAGTACTTAGGATGTGGAAGAGATCAGCGTAACCAGCAGGTGACACTGATGAGCTCCAAGCTCACAGCGATGAACACGAATCTGAACTCACTCTCTCTCCCTTGGGACCTGCTTCTCCTGGAGGTCCTCGCTGTCCTTGGTCACCCTGTAGGAAAACAAAACTGTGTTCATGGACAGTCTTTTGAAATTATAAAACACCGCTCATGTTACCTTGCTTTTGTTCCTTCACCCCAGTAACTCTGCTCTAACCTGGATGCCTAGCCCAAGAAATCTTTTTATAAAAATTATCTTACCTTAAAATGGATATTACCATAAAGATAATTGAGACTTACATGTCTATTGATTTCATTGTAAATGCATAACGATTCTGTGTTCACTAGGTGTACAGGGATAGTAACATTAAGGTCTGTAGAACAGGTACCCTTGACATCAGTAACTGTGCCTTCGTGTTCTCCAGCCTCATTGAATACCGTGGTGGGCTGAGGCTTGGATCGGGGCAACCTTTCCTCCATATTACTTAATTCCTCAGTCAGTAATAATGATTTCTGTCAGCTAATGTTGATACATGGTTTAGGTGGTAACAGATGAGAGGATGTGTCTTTCTGAAATAAAGCTTCTGTTGAATTGCTCAACTGCTCTAAAACCTTCAAATGGCTTCCTGTTGCTACCAGATCATTTCAAAGTGCCCAGATCAGCATTAAACATTCTTCATAATATGGTTCTACCTCATCTAGTCAATTTCATCTTCTCAACAGGAACCTTCCACTCCGGGTGGTGGCAGCCCCTCTGGCAGCACACACTCTCATCAGTACCAACAGGGCTCCTGCTCGCCTGCACCCCGCTGCCCTTCCCACCCAGCACGGCTTTCCAGACCAGCCTTCCTCTTGGGTCCGCTCGGGCACATCACCTCTCCCACGTGCTCTAGCACACGCTCTTATAATACAGCGTTCAGTTACGTTCTGTCTTTCCCACTGGACCTTGAGAGTTGGAAATTCTACTTTACTTACACCTTGTCTACTTTTCAATGTGATACAGGTGATTACTAATGAATGGCTTTTTTGTTTATATACTCCCAGGAGAGGTGGGAGGCAGCCCACAGTAAAGACAGTAAAGGAAAAGGACAGAACTCTCCAACGACTTACAGTGAGATCATCACTGTGACTCTAAGCACCTTTGCAACCAAACAAAAGGAAAGCACAGCGAGTGTAAAAACTTAGCAATTTGACTTGGCCTATGAGGAAAACAAAACCCACATCAAGTCCGAGGAATATTCCTCTGCACCCCAAAAAGAGATGTTTGTCTTAATTTTTAGAACTTAAATAAATATAAGAACAATTGCCCACTTTTCCACTTTATTTGCATGTAAAAGATACTTGCATATATATATATATATATGTATATATATAGCAAATATACAGCAGAAAACCTATCTTTGATCATTGAAAAATCTATCATTGGATTCTTGGAACGAAAACCACTTACAGGTGCACCAGGAAGACCTTGAGGTCCCGGGTCTCCATCTAAGCCCCGAGCACCCTGCAAATAAACAAGACAAAGCAATGAAACCAAGACAGTCGTGCATGTAAAAGGCACATGAGTGTTTTCAAAGAACTTGAGTGGCAGATGAAAAGGAGGTCTTGTGTTCTGTGGAGTATGCTATGTCCATCAGTGAGCCCAAAGAGTGTTTCATCAGACACCTCAGATCTGAAAACACTGGTTTACATCCTCTCATCCCACCAAAAGTACTTAGACCCAACGTTTGGTACCACTCTGGATGTTTCAAGTTAACAAACACTGCATTCATTCTTTTTTTT